CTGAAGAGCCAGCTGCTGAGTCAGATTCCACGTCGAGCGACGGTGAGAGCAGCTCGAGCACGGAGCCGAAGGAAGCGGTTCCAAAGGCCGCTCCAGCGGACCGAGCGAAGGTCGCGGAACGAGATCCAGAGGACCGAGCGAAGGTAGCGGAACGAGATCTCGCGGACCGGCAGGTGCCTACAAAAATGACGGAGGTCGCTGAACGAAAAGAGGAAGCGCGGTCGACGAGGAATGTGAAAAGAGCCGCTAGCCCACGAAGGCCGTGGAAGGGAACAAGTTAGGACAAGGTCAGGCCGCAGTAAGATGGTCCGAGAAGCCAGCTCTGGACGGGCCACCTTGGACGCCAAGGAAGCGGGGTGGGCCCGAGCTCGAGAGGTTCGGCGGAACTCCGAGTCGGAAGATGAGTATACCTACGAATATGAAACAGAAGAGGAGTCAAAGAGGGCGTCGTCAGAGGCGTGCAGTGCGGACTGGGGCGGCTCGGAAGAAGGAAAGGCCCGGTCCAGATCGGGACGACGTAAGAAAGTGACGCTGAAAGGACGTTGCAGAAAGGAGGAAGGGCGGCGAGACCGCAGAACTCGAGAAAGGAGTCCCAGTAGAAACCAGGATCGTGAGAAAGCTGAGACTCGAGCGGGCTCTGCCGCCGAGAGAGATCAGGCGTGGGGTAGTTCGAGCGCCTGGGGATCCAACGAGAAGGACTGGGGCACCAGTGGCGATTGGAGCTCTTGGGGATGGGGCTGGCAATCAGAGATCGCCAGGAGCAGCCAGACAGCTGGAGCACCGAAGGGTGGACGAGTCGCCGATCGCAAGGCTGCGATCGAAGCGGACATGGAAGAACATGGAGTGGTGATCTGCCCTAAGTGCAACAGTCAGAACGCAACATGGAGACTGAAATGTTACAAATGCGGTCTGGCGAGGCCAAACCCAGAAGAGATCCTCCGAGAACACGGGGACCGGCATCAATCCAGAAATGCCAAGCGCCGAGGTGGAGGTAAAAAGAAGAAGACCTGGCAGGACGATTGGACCGATCGGGGTAGATGGACCGGATCGTCGTCGTCTTCATGGACGGACTGGAGTTGGAAGAACAACAAGTATGATGAGTCGTCAGGAAGAGATCGAAATCATCCCTTTGCGCATGTCGGACCTGATGGTCCGGCCTTGGCAGCTGGTGGACTGGTCGTGACGTTGATTATCGAAGCCACATGGGCCGCGATCCGAGTGACGAGGCAGGCCGGCGAAAGCGGCGCTGCGTTGGTCCAGGCTGTTGAGTATGCCTTGATCTCCGTAGTGGAAGAGACGGGAGCTCAGGTCGAAGGGATCTTGAGGCTCGGCGTGGACGCAGCAGGGCTGACATTAATGCGTTGGTGCCTGTATGCTCTGTACCAGTGGAAAAAAGGGAGAAACGAAGAGGTGCTGTTCTGGTCGCCGCCAGTCTCGCCGAAGAAAAGAGCGGCGAAGGCGCGGGCGAAGAAAACAGGAGATCAGGGCAGCTCGAACCTAGGAATCGTCAGCCTAGATTCTCTTCGATCGAAGGCTCGCCTGGAAGAAAAGAAGACTAGCGAGCGGGCAGCCCTGCCGCCGCTAGAAGCGATCAAGGATGTGAGCCCTCGTCCGAAAGGGAGAGGACAAAAGAAAGAACAAAGAAAAGAAGTCCCGAAAAACACCATTGAGTCGGTGCCTGGGAAGTCACCCGTTCTCAGGGTTCTAGCAGGAGCCTCAGAAGCTCAAGAAGCAGCCCTGCAGGTACTGGAGGAAAGCGCTGAGGCCGGAACCGAGGCTCGCGTGTGGTTCACAGGCTATGCGGTCGACAGACCCGAAATCCTGGCCGGACTGAAAGTCGCGCAGGACGCGGGCTGTGAGTTGAAGGTGACCGTAGACCAGGCCCAATCAAAGAGGAACGTTGAACAGAAGAAAGTTCTTCAACAGGCTTCCTCCAGTGGGTTGGCGGTGTTGTTCGCCAACGGGAACCCGTTGGGACCGCACTACCAAGCAGCAGGGCGTGGCAGGTTGAACTTTACCGGGGCATTACATGCCAAGACATTGATTGCAGAGCTGCCAGGCCAGAAGCAGGAGCCGAGGAAAGTTCTGGCCATCTTGGGTTCGGTGAACTGGACCACGGCGTCGAGGGGCAATCATGAGCTGGCAATGCTCCTGGAAGTTGACCAGAAGTCGCAGGCAGGTGAAGATCTGATCCGATGGGCTACTGAAGTAGCCCGACACGGGAAGACATTGGATGAATGGGATCTTCAAGAGATCAGTGCATCTGCCAGGCAGCGACAACATGGTTAACCCTGTGGCATTTTGCGCAGGGGGGTTCCAGCGGCTATAGGGCGCGGAAGCTCAGTGCTCCTGCGGCTCTTAGCGCGGAACTTGTGTGTAGGTTTTCTGTGTGGGATCATAGGCAGAGGGGCGAATGTAAAGTGCATGCTCCATGTACAGTGCCTAGTGATCCCTCACTAGGTCGTTTTGTGCCACTGCAGAGCGACCGCTTTCTTTTGGCTCAAGACGCACTAGGTTCGACCGACGCGACAAAAAGGGCTTGGGACCGAGAGGGTCTTTGGGAAGCCCCTTTTGGCTTCGCATACTACTACTACTACTACTACTACTACTACTACTACTGACGACTACTACTACTGACGACTACTACTACTGACGACTACTACTACTGACGACTACTACTACTGACGACGACTACTACTAGTACTAGTACTACTACTACTACTACTACAACCTACAACCTACAACCTACAACCTACTACTACTACTACGACGACTACTACTACTACTACTACTACTACGACCTACTACGACCTACTACGACCTACTACGACCTACTACGACCTACTACTATTACTACTACTACTTACTACTACTACTACTACTGCTACTACTTACTACTACTACTACTACTTACTACTACTACTACTATTACTACTACTACTACCTACTACTACTACTACGACTACTTACTACTACTACTACTACTACTACTACTACTACTACTACTACTTACTACTACTACTACTACTACTACTTACTACTACTACTTACTACTACTACTTACTACTACTACTTACTACTACTACTTACTACTACTACTACTACCACTAACTACTACTACTTACTACTACTACTGGCTACTACTACTACTTACTACTACTACTACTTACTACTACTACTTACTACTACTACTACTTACTACTACTACTACTTACTACTACTACTTACTACTACTACTTACTACTACTACTTACTACTACTACTACTACTTACTACTACTACTACAAACTACTACTACTACACACTCTAACTGCTACTACGACGCGACGACAACAAACAAACAACAACTTACTACTACTACCTTCTTACAACCATACTATACTACGACCTACTACGACCTACTACGGCCTACTACGGCCTACTACGACCTACTATGACCTACTACGACCTACTACGACCTACTACGACCTACTACGACCTACTACGACCTACTACGACCTACTACTACTACTACTGCTACTACTACTGCTACTACTACTACGACCTACTACTACTACTATGACTACTACTACTACTACTACTACTACTACTGCTACTACTACTACTACTACTAATACTACGTACTCCTACTACTACGTACTCCTTTACTACGTACTCCTTTACTAGGTACTCCTATACTACGTACTCCTATACTACGTACTCCTATACTACGTACTCCTACACTACGTACTACTATACTACGTACTCCTATACTACGTACTCCTATAGTACGTACTACTGTACTACTACTATACTACGTACTCCTATACTACGTACTCCTATACTATACTACATACTCCTATACTACGTACTCCTATACTACGTACTCCTATACTACGTACTACTATACTACGTACTACTATACTACGTACTACTATACTACGTACTACACTACTACGTACTACACTACTACACTACTACGTACTACACTACTACGTACTACACTACTACGTACTACACTACTACGTACTACACTACTACGTACCACACGACTACTACTACTACTACGACTACCACTACCACTACCACCACCACCACCACCACCACCACACACCACCACCACCACCACCACCAGTCACTACCACTACCACTACCACCACCAGTACCACTACCACTACCACTACCACGCGGACGACGACGACGACGGCGACTACTACTGCTACCAGAGCTAACACTACCACTACACTACACCTACAACTACACAACAGCAACAACAACAACAACAACCAACCAACAACAACAACAACAACAACAACAACCACAACCACAACCACAACCACCACCACAACAACAACAACAACCACAACAACCACAACAACCACAACAACCACAACAACCACAACAACCACAACAACCACAACAACCACAACCACAAGGACAAGGACAACGACAAGGACAACGACAACAATGACAATGACAACGACAACCACAACCACAACCACAACGAGAACCACAACAACAACAACAACAGCAGCAGCAACAACAACAACAGAGACAACAAAGAAGCAACTCACTTTGCACAGCACCTGCGTTGGCACAGAAGTCCGTCCAGGCTTGAAAAGTTTAGGGTTCAGGGTCCGCCAACGCAGGTGGCGTCCAAGCAAAAGCTAACCAGTCTTAATGTCAATTGAGGGAGTGGTCCTGAGTGCAGCTACACCTACAACTACAACTACGGCTACACTTCACTACAACTAGGACTAGACTACACTACACTACAGTTGTGGGTGAGGTGACCACTGCAAACACTCCAAAAAGCATAGCTCCAACCACCTTGCGGTCCATCAGTGGATTTGCTCTGCCATCCATGCATCACAACAACTAACTTCTCCTATAGTTGCCTATCTTTGAAACTTCCGCCACCGCTTTGTGCGGTACTACTGGTATGTTAATGAGATTGGACATCCCTATTGGGGCCCAGGAATCCCAATCATCATGAACTTTTCGGGCCCGTGGTCGTTGAGGACTGTTGTTGCCCCTGCTCGCTTACCACGATGGCCACGTCGGGTCCACACACTTCGAGAAAGTTCGAGAACTCCAATCCGTTTTGTTGGTCAAAGAATGTGTGCACCCTGGCACGCGCGTGGAGAAAACAAGAGACGATCTTGGCGTTGTGGGTATGTGTGCTTTGTGGCATCGGGATCCAGCAGTCTTGGCCAGCGATGTTGAAGCCATCCGTGAGATGGATCAGAAGGGATCCATTTTAGTCCTGCACAATGAAGCTAGGTAAGATTTTAGAACCCATCAACCAGCCATGACAATGGCATTTATTGCTGCCCTTATTATGCAAGATTGTGGGCTGACAGCTTGCCCACTTTTCTCCAGTGTCAAGATTTTTGGTTTCACGCAGGTCATCGAATGTCCCATTTTGGAGATATCGGGCACAACCACCATTGAATGGTTATCGGTTAGGACGTAGCTCTACCACGTTTTTGACGGGTCTCTTTAGAGAGTTTTTTTTAGCCTTAACTTTTAGTTTTTATAGCCTTAATTTTTAGTTTTTATACACTTAACTTTTAGTTTTTATACACTTAACTTTGAGTTTTTATACCCTTAACTTTTAGTTTTTATAGCCTTAACTCTTAGTTTTTATACACTTAACTTTTAGTTTTTATACACTTAACTTTTAGTTTTTATACACTTAACTTTTAGTTTTTACACACTTAACTTTGAGTTTTTATACACTTAACTTTTAGTTTTTATACACTTAACTTTTACTAAGATAGAACCCCAAAATTGGACCAAAATGACCCCAAAATGACCCCAAGAAGGTGAGTTTTTATCAGCTTAAGTTTGGCCAGTTAAGCTGACACAAAGTAAGGGTATAAAAGCTCTATTTTGCAGCAGAATAGAGTTTTTATACCCTTACTTTGTGTCAGCTTAACTGGCCAAACTTAAGCTGATAAAAACTCACCTTCTTGGGGTCATTTTGGAGTCATTTTGGGGTCCAATTTTGGGGTTCTATCTTAGTAAAAGTTAAGTGTATAAAAACTAAAAGTTAAGTGTATAAAAACTAAAAGTTAAGGGTATAAAAACTAAAAGTTAAGTGTATAAAAACTAAAAGTTAAGTGTATAGAAACTAAAAGTTAAGTGTATAAAAACTCAAAGTTAAGTGTATAAAAACTAAAAGTTAAGTGTATAAAAACTCAAAGTTAAGTGTATAAAAACTAAAAGTTAAGGGTATAAAAACTAAAAGTTAAGTGTATAAAAACTAAAAGTTAAGTGTATAAAAACTAAAAGTTAAGGGTATCAAAACTCCTAAAGAAAACGTGTTAGATCAACACCCTAAGTTATCGGGCATGATGTTGCCAATATTTAGGCGATGTTCAAGTGGGATATTTGCCAGCCCTTTTGCGTGAACTTTTGACCCAACCCTTGATTATTTATTGCTGGACAAAGAAAGACAGTGCAGCAATCAGCCTGAGCCCCTAGCGGGCTAGCACGCTGCATAGTCTTCTCCAGTGTGTGCATTTTTGGCTCCGCATGCGCGAACTTTGTACAGCATGGCACCTTTGCCGGGCAAGCTGTCAGCTTCAGCGCCAGGATCAGCGAACGAACTTGGAAGACAAGGGTCAAGCAATGCTTGGGCGGGGGCCGCTTGGGTTTGAGCCTGTTGCCGTTTTGGGGGCCATAGAGACTATGGCAATGTCATGTAATTTTGGCGGATGCTTCGAAGCGCCGGCCCCGATTCAGTTTTTTTGGGCTTGGGCATTGTTTACGGCTAACTTTGAGCCATGGGAGTGTTCAAATTTAGCATGTTTGAGGAGGTCAAAATCATTGAACTAAAGCTGGTGTTTTGCGACTACCATCACTTCCCCGGTTTGATTGCGGAATCGCAAGCCATGAAGCAAGCGTGGGTTTAAATATGGTTTTAAAGGGTGATGGCTATCTCGAATAGGCATATCTGGATAACAATGAGGAATTTGAAATCTTGCCTCTTCAAATCCGCTCTCGGCGCAGGTTCAATAAGAGTTTTGGGTCCGACCAGTATTTTAAGATTTTACGGCACGGTTATTGAAGCCACCAGCCGGCGTTTGACGCAATGATGTGAGGGCATAAAGCATAAGATGATGCATGGTCTCGAAGCATTAGATATGTTATTTTATTCCGTCGAAATGCCCGGTGCCGTCGAGCGTCAAACCTTGTGATGTCACCGTATCACCCTTACAACAGTGGCTAAAGGCTAGGCTTCAGGCATTTTTCATGACTGTTTCAGCACACCAAAGTTATGTAGGTTTTCACACCTCCTGCAGGTCCTCATTGTGACCGGTATGTCTGATGCTTTCAACTGTCCCGAATTCAGAGGCTCAATGACTTGATCTACCGGATCTACCACAAGTTTGCTTGACTGGGTCGTCGTATCGGGCAGACACTTCGACGGACCGCGCAAAAAGAACAGTAGTTTTGGATATTCAGGTAGAATTGGCAAATGTTTTCAGTTTGAATAAACATTCTATTCGTGGGCCGGGGCCCCACGGAACTCTACAGGAAACTCTACGCGCACTTTACAGGGACCGCGGGATCTCTACGCGAGCTCCACGGAAAATTCAACGGGAATTCAACAGAAATTTTACGATACTACAGGAAGTGTATGGGAAACTCCGGTAAACTCTTTAAGATACAGGAAACCTATGGAAACGCTACGGCAAGTCTACTGGGACTCTACAAAAACTTTACGGGAACTGTACGGGAACCCGGCGGAAAGCCTACGCGGACCGTCTGGGAACACTACGCGGACCCTTAATTAAGGAACTCTTGGGGGGATCTAAAGGACCGAGGAAATTCCCGACGCGGGGTTTGCAAGGATCCTGCGGAAATTCTACGGGGAACATTACGCGCATTCTATTACAAGCGTACGTGAATTCCACGACCTTTATGGGAACTCTGCGGGAATTATTCTGAAAACCCACAGAAATGTTTGCGCAAAACTCTGCGGAAAATTGTCCGGGAACCCTATGGGAAATTCCACGGAAACTTTTGGTCTACAGGAACTTTACGGGAAATCTACACGGACTCTACGGGAACCTTACGGTAAATTCTACGGGAACCCTGCGGGAACTCTACGCGAACTCTACGGGAAGGTTATAAAAATGCTACACGGTTTTTACGGGAACTTTACGGCACTCTAAAGGAACTTTGAGACGCATCGGGAAATTTAGAGGAATAATTGTAGAGCTTCGCACACCGGCGATGCCTGTAGGGGTCGGGGGAGGGAAAGAGAGAGGGGGATTTCATCTGAACTTGCGGACATGACATGCTGCGAGCTGCATCTTCGTTGTCGTCATCGTCATTGTCGTCGTCGTCGTTGTCGTTGTTGTCGTCGTTGTTGTTGTTGCTTCTGGTCCTCCTTCTCGTTCTCGTTCTTGTTCTTGTTCGTGTTGTCGTTGTCGTTGTCGTTGTCCTTGTTGTCGTCGTTGTCGTCATTGTCGTCGTTGTCGTCCTTGTCGTTGTTGTCGTCGTCTTCGTCGTCGTCGGCGTCGTCGTCGTCGTTGTTGTTGTTATTGTTGTTATAGCTGTTGCTGCTTGGTCCTGTTATCGTTGTCGTTGTTATCTTTACTTTTTGCAAACCCCTCAAAATCGTCAAATCGACGGTTTTTGCAAACCCCCAAAAAGCGCCAAATAGGCGGTGTTTTCGCGATTTTTCACATTTCTCGGAACAAAAATGCACCGTAAATACCGATGTTTTTGGCTCCGCGCCAACGCAAAACCACGGTATTTACGAGGTTTTGAGCCTCTGCTAGCAAAAATCACAGTATTTACAGTGTTTTGTGGCCCGGGCCTAGCAAAAACACTGGTATTTACGCAGTTTCCTGCATGTTGTCGAAGCTTTTTTTGGATGCCAAAGGCACAAAAACATTGTAAATTACACGATTTTTACGCGTGGACAGAACCAAAAAATTATGAAAAAAATGCCAAAAATCGACCAAAAAACGCCCAACAAGGACCTCCAAAACGCATCTTCAAATTTTACCCTCTTTTTTCCCACCCCGAACCCCCAAAAACGTGAAAACCCCAGCAGGCTGAAGGATTTTAGGGGAGGGTCGGCGGCAGGGGCGCGCCCCCGGGTAGCTAAAGCTATGCTTAGCTGCCACCACTACACGACGAGGCATCGCCGGATTTAAGCGCTTACGCGCGACAGCCGGCCAGGGGCCCAACTATGTAGGCCCAGTGTGTGGCTATGTTGGCCTATGTTGGCGTATGTTGGCCTATCTTGCGGGCAATGTGGGCCCATCTTGTGGCTACGTTGGCCTATGTTGGCCTCATGTTGACCCATGTTGAGCCAAAAGATCCGAAAAATGGGAGCAGCAAAAAAAACACTGTAAAACGCAGGATATTTTGATGGTCGGCGGCCTATCTTGGGGCTATGTGGGCCCATCTTGGGGCTATGTTGGCCCATCTTGGGGCTATGTTGGCCCATCTTGGGGCTATGTTGGCCCATCTTGGGGCTATGTTGGCCCATCTTGGGGCTATGTTGGCCCATCTTGAGGCCTATGTTGGCCCATCTTGAGGCCTATGTTGGCCCATGTTGACCCATCCTAAACCACAAGATCCGAAAAATGGGAAAAAGTGGGAAGAGCACAAAACACCGTAAAACGCGGGGGTTTTTGGCCGGACCGGGTGGTCGGCGGCAGGGGCGGCGGCCCCTCTCTCCTACGGAGAGGAGAGAAACGCCTTCGGCAATGCCACGGCCAGGGGGCCCCTGGCCGGATTTATGAGGCTTACGCCTGACAGCCGGGCGCCGGCCAAAGCAGACCCATGCGTCGGGTGTAATCCATGTCCATGTTCTGGTGTTGTTGTTGTTGTTGTTGTTGTCGTTGTCGTTGTCGTTGTCGTTGTCGTTGTCATTGTCGTTGTTGTTGTTGTTGTTGTTGTTGTTGTTGTTGTTGTTGTTGTTGTGGTTGTGGTTGTGGTTGTTGTTGTTGTTGTTCTTGTTCTTGTTCTTGCCGTTGTTGTTGTTGTTGTTGTTGTTGTTGTTGTTGTGGTTGTGGTTGTTGGTGTTGTTGCCGTTGTTGTTGTTGTTGTTGTTGTTGTTGTTGTTGTTGTTGTTGTTGTCGTGGTCGTCGTTGTGTTGTGTTGCTGTTTTTGTTTATGTTGTTGTTGTTGTTGTGGTTGTTGTTGTTGTTGTGGTTGTTGTTGTTGTTGTTGGCCGATGTTGGCCCTATTTGGGCGCAGGTTTGCCCCTGTCTTGGCCCTAGGTTGTTGTTGCTGTTGTTGTTGGTGCTGTTGTTGTTGTTGTTGTTTTTGTTGTTGTTGTTGTTGTTGTGGTTGTTGTTGTTGTTGCTGTTGTTGTTGTTGTTGTTGTTGTTGTTGTTGTCGTCGTCGATGATGATGTTGTTGGTGATGTTGTTGTTGATGTTGTTGTTGATGTTGTTGACGTCGTTG